TAAAAGGTATGGATATAATTGAGGGGAGCCATATTGATTCTAATGGAAACTTGTCTGCATATGTTCCCATAACCAACCCGAACAATGTAATTAAGATACACTGCACAAGTAGACCTAGTGATGAATTTCCCACCTCAAACAGAATCTTCATAGATTTCAAAGCTATGAAGATAGGTTTCAAAAAAGGTTACAGACCTATTTTAGGAGTAGATGGTTGTCATCTAAAACGACTGTATGGTGGTGTCTTACTTTCTGTTGTGTCTCTTGATGGTAGTTGGAGTTTCTTCTTTCATTAGTTGAATGAGTTTGTGGATGTATTACTTGAAGACAAACCTTATGACATTTATGAGTGATGATAGACAAAAAATTCTTGAATGAAAATGTTTCTAATAGGTTTTGTGTTATGCACATATTTAGAAATTTCAAGGAGGTAAATTTTTGATTGTTTCTCAGATATTGCTATTGGAAGGCAGCAGCAAGGTTAATTGACATGCAAGGCTTCAACACTGCAATGGAAGGGAAAAAAGCATACAAGCCTGAAGTTTGTGCTTGGTTGGAGAAAATACCTAGGTCAATGTGGGCAAGACATGCATTCGACCCAGTGTTGTAAAATGAGCACACCACTAACAACCTTTCTGAATGTTTTAATAGCTGGGAAGGGGACCTCAGAGGTCCAACCATTTTAACTTTATTGGCAAGGTTGAGATACAAAATTATGAACAGGCTTCAAAAAATGTTTCAAAAAGGAAGTACTTGGAACAGTTCAGTGAAACCTTATATTGTGAAGAGGTTGAATGTTGTTGTTGAGGCTTCCGGACATTGTAGCATGTTACTTGCTAGTGAGGATGAGTTTAAGGTACTTGATACTAACCAAGTTCACTATATTTGCAATTTAAGAAGAAGGACATGTGACTGCAAAATATGGAAAGAATAAGGACATGTGACTGCAAAATATGGAACATTAGTGGTGTTCCCTGCAAATGTGTTGCACTTGGGATTGCTTACAAATGGGAAAAATTTGAGGATTACTACAACAAATTCCAAAGAAACTTATTTAAAATCAGACTCTGAGATGATTCATTCCATTCGAGATATTAAAATATGACGAAGAGTTGAAGTTCATATATGTTCATTCTTCTTCCCTTAGAAGGCTTCTAGGTAGGCCACACAAAAAAAAAAAAAAAAAAGCACAGAAGAGATACAGATGAAGGATCCCCTCGATTTAAAAGGTCATGCATAGTGGAATGTAAACTATGCAAACAAACTGGACATAACAAAAGGGCATGTCAAAGAAGGCCAATGAGGGTGAAGAAAGGTTGGCGGTTTGCTTCCGGTCTAAATACACATAGCGATAGTTAGCCCACGGTAGGGGCTTTCTTCTAATTATGAATTTACTGATATTTTTTTATTCAATTGAAAATCCATTTTCCCATTAGAGAGGCCTAATACTGGAGATGGATCTGGAGCATGAGCAGGAACAATATATATATGGATATGGAGCTAGTCAGACATAATCCTGAGCCTACATTATCACAAATGTTTGGATCTAGAAGAGCCTCTCAATTGCTAGGTTCAATAAGGGCCTCAAAGATTCTTCAAAGGGTTATTGGAGGTGTGGCAGTTGTTGCTTCTGATGTAATGTTGAAGATGTGTCAGGTATTGCTCTTGGTAATGAAGATAATGTTGTTGATTCTGGTGTTGGTTGTGTTGTTGCTTCTGGTTTTGGTAATGTTGTTTCTGGTGTTGATACTGGTTAAAAGGGTATTAGCAGATGTGAAATTTTAGGCTGGTAATGAGAGATGCTCATTGGATAAGTGTAGCTATTTTTAATTACTGTACAATAATTGATATTGTTGGCTCTACACGTCTTTTGATCACCGTATAGTGATGGACGTGTTTGATGTGTGTTTAGTTTGTAATACACACTTATATGTGGGTTTTTTTTATGTGAAACGAAAATCCAAAAGCTATATAATGGTGAATGTTTGTCTATCTACCATTTTTATCGAACACATTCATGCATTCTGCACATTACAATTTGTAAGATATATGGCTAATGAAAATTATATCACATTCACTTCACTGGAAAGGTAATTAAGGTCATAAACAATCACAATACAAATACTAACGGAGATACTAATAGACATTGACGGTAGGGGTTTAAGTATTACACGTTTATAAATTTTAATGGATTTATGTGTAATATTTTAAATATCAAATGTCTAAGTTATTAAGTGACAAATCTCAGGGAGTCTAAATATAATTTTCCTTTTATATTTTGGATATGGTTCTGCTGGTTTGAATATGAATATTTGGTATATCTCCATTACTGAATGTATTGGACTGATAATTTGAGTTTTTGTCTGATTTAATATACATTAAACATGTTATTTTGATAATTTTTATCATGTTTTAGTCTATTTATGATTAATAATAAATTTTTATTATATTACCGATTCGATCAGTAACTCACTAGTTGAACTATTGACCTATTAACCCAATTTTTGTGTTGGATTAATGTACAAGCCGGGTTTTAAAATTATAGTTTCAAATACTACTTTTTTTAAAAGTATTTATGAGAAATTGTAAGTTTCATGAGCACTTTTAAAAAGTCACTCTAAATATACCATAGGGGATCGATTTTCTCTATTAAATTTAAAGAATTAATATTAATCGTCAAATTAATTTTAAAATGACATCAATCGCAAAAAATAAAATTATTTTTATGTTGTATTTTATTATATAGATATTTATTGTCACACCCTCACCCTAGATCACATAGGGTGAGCGGCGGACCAACCACCAAGGCCTTGACCAACCAACCATGTGTATAATAAATGTAAAATACAGCGGAAGACAAATAATAAAGTGATTCATTTCTCCAACCTAATGAATACAAAAGGAATAAACTAAACACCACCAACATCATTATTAAACTCATGTAAAACAATAATTAAACTATAAAATTCAATATTCTAAGTATAAGCAACATTATTCCTAAAACAATTGAATATTTGTCATAAAATTATAAAAGACTTTTATTCATGAAAACTTATAATAAAATAAATTTTCAATTTCTCTAATCTCTTGTCTATCTGTAAACTTACTCGTCACTATGATCTTCACCTGAAAAATGTTAAATATTTGGATGAGCACAATGACCCTTGAATAGCAATCACCTATAATGAGGTGTTAAATAAATCTCACAATTTATATACAAAAATAAACTTTGATACATATATACGTTTGACAAATTGTACCACAATCCCTCTCACATAATCCTTAAAAAAATGATCTCATGATCACAAATAATAAAAAGACATTTATAACTCAAAACACTCACACACACATTTAGTCTCAAATACATTTGTCAAATCATGTTTGTTATTACTAACCTGATAACTAGTCCCGTCTTTTGTCATCACTAACCTGATAACTGGTTTCGTCTCTTGTCATCACTAGTCCGATGAACAGCCTCGTCTTTTGTTACCACTAGACTGACAATTGGCCCCGTCTCTTATCACCACTAGCCAAATGACCAGTCCCTATGTGCACATCTCTATACTGATCACACCGGTATACAATCTCATTACCATTTAGACCGGGTAACCCAGTTCCCGTCTCATAAACATGATTTTCACACACACAAAAATTGTGGTTTTAGTCCCAACGCATACAAAATTTATCTTTCATCACCAAAGCAATGATTTAAAATCATCCCATAAGTTTTTTAATATTCACATGTATAACAGTTCACAATTGTAAAACATTTAATTTCAACCCTAAATATCAACACATATACCATATATATGAAAAATCTACACACACGCACCCACACATTTAATATAGAAAATCCTCCCAAAAAGAAGTAATAAACTATTCACCTTGATTCTCAAAATCTAATTCAAAACCCTCTTTCTCAACCTCAATGCAATCACCTCCTAATCCAAAATAACATATAATGATCAATCCTTATTTCTAATTTCGTCATTTCATGATTTTATATTTAATTTGTATATTTCTTACCCATTGATATATAATTTATATATCCTTTACATATAAATATCCTTTATAATACCAGGTAAGAGGGTATAGAAGTATTTTGTGCTCTTTAGAAAAAGTTTTTAAAGTTTTTACATCTAATCATAATGTTTTAAACTTTTGAGGTCAAAGTATAATTTCCTTAGAAAACGAATTTTATGTTTTCGGCCCTGTCATAAATTTTCCAAAATTTTATTTTTCAAACTTACCAAGTAAAATAGTTGATAAATTAAGTTTAGAAGAATATATGAGTCAAAGTAAAACTCTTTAAAACTAAAAATGATGATCCTGTAATTTCTAGATTTGGTCTTCTTCTACATACGGAAATCCCAATTCCATTCTCCTTTTCTTTTATTTTTCAACCTATTGATGAAACTCTATTAAATTTCAAACAACTACATACCTTAATTTAATATAATAATTTCAAGAATCAACAAGGTACTATGAGACCAATATATATATATATATATATATATATATATATATATATGTCACTTGCTTTGGTCTTCTTAGGTTTTAACTATCCAACAATACTATCTTATTTAAAACATATGCAGAAAAGTCTTAATAGATCTCTCTAGGATAAGACTTTTATTAAAGATACATTAGTCTTCTTTAAATTGTTTTTATTCTTATATATATAATTACTTATTTCTAGGCTGCCAATACACCAAAATAAAATAATAATTATTTTTTTTTGGGTAATTACATTTATCCTTCAAGGTCCATAGTACAAATCATTTTCAGAATATCATCAAAAAAAAATACCATTATCCTATTTTTAAATCTCAAATCTTTCCATACAAAAAGAGAGAAAAAAACGATATTCTTATGAGGAAAAAGTTATTTGGACTTAAAATATGAACTTAAAATGTAAATTTTATCAATCACAACTATTGAATATGTAATAGGTACTAATAAATGTAAGAACTCACAATAAAACTCATATTTGACAGTAGCTATGATGTTCGACATAATTCATGATCCTTTTTTTTTCCCGAAATAAACCCATAGAGAGAGGATAAGGCAGACATTCTAATTGAAAACGAAATAATTACTTGTATCAAGCTCCTGCAAAAGACCATTCGAGCTCAAGAAGAAAACTCTTTTTCCAGCACTTGAAAATAGAGAACAAGCTACAATAGACATTACTATTGACCCATGAGTTAACTTTAAGATCTAACTGCTCCACAGCAACATTTCTGCCCTAAGAGTAATATAGCTGGTATACGTCACATGAAGGACTGATCTGAGCAACACACTTCACAAGCTTTACCTGCAACCAATATACATATCTATATATACAACATCCCACCTTCAATGTTTTACCTTCTAATTCCCGAACACTGAATTACTTGCATTGTATCCCCGGGATGTTATCAAACCCTAATGATTGAAGTCCAAGAAGCTAGGTTGGGGCTGTCCAGGAAGAGTCTGGTTGTTGGAGTCCGAACGAGGTATGTGAAGCTGCTGTTGCTGTTGGGGTTGCTGTGTGTGGGGGTTTCCAAAATGATGAAAGGTTTGTTGGTGGGAGGAAAATTGAGGCAGCTGTGCACTGTTAAAGTTGTTTCCATTGACAGCAGGTATTTGTCCAGCTGCTATCTTTAGCCGCTGTACTTCTTCCCTCAATGTTTCATTCAGAGCTGCAAACCACAGGAAGATATACAAAAATTACCTATTATAGGAAACCATTCAATAGGAGAGGTCTCAAGGTTTTCATTTCATTTTCGATAGCTATTGTTCCAGGTAAATCCTATTTTATTCACATGAGTCGTGAGAACACAATAATTTACTGGTTTCGTTTTTTGAAAATACGATGTCTTTTACTTTATATGAGCCAAACTGAAAAACGAATGGAAAAAATATGAAGTCACTTCCTTTTTTCTGCTGGCTGTGCAAGTAGGGTAAGGTCTTGGTGGCACACAAAGACCAGTGCCCTAACAGAAGGACACGATTGAAGACATCCAATGCTAATCCATTGACCTGTGTAGTGCCCCACAGCAAAATATGACATCAATCCAGAAGCGATACATACCATCTCGAAGATGTGCTTGTTGTTCCATTGCCTCTAACCGCAGTTTGAGCTCCTTGTTCTCAGCAGTCAAACCAGTAGTGTCTCTCTGCATTGCAACAACCACAATGAGTCTCATTTATTGTATTTTAGTTTCCTATGCTATTGCATTTCGGGGGTGAACTCAGATCAATATCACCAGAAGAAGTATGAAGCCCGGAAATAGGGTAAATCATGTTTGCAAGCTCTCGTACTTGCATAATCCATAATTGAATACTTAAACTCTAAAAAAAATGTCAGCAAACACACCAAAAATGATTGTATAAAACAGGAATAAAGTCTGCACACAGGAAGAGCGCAATTTGAAGTAAATAGCAGAAAGCCAGTACAGCTGAAGTAGCATTACAACCAAGAATCTGTGTCACATGTCAACTTGTGCCACCAGGTACTTCAACTGCTGGCATCGCTGATGCATTTAGTGTCTAAATGAAAAACAAAGAAAATTCATTGGCAGGGAATGTATCTGCTAGGAAAAGGGGCTATAAAATCTAAAACACAGCATTGGAGCATATCCCTAAAATCTCACTGTGACCTAAATGATCAAACACTATGTATGTTTAACCAAAACAGGTCATAATATGATCTGAATATTGACAGCCAGATGAATTTCATATAGATAGCTTGTTTGTGAAGATTTACAGTTTATAGACAAACTTTTAAGTACATGTAAAGATGGATTTAATTTTAGCTCACACATATACCTAACGTCTCCAGAAGTGGAATAAGTAGGTAGATTTTAGCAGATGCTGGAAACCATGCTCACTGAAACTTAGACAAGGGAGGACTACGTAACAGGATGATAAGTGAGTTGACATCCCACTATAGAGTGATATGGTTCACAATTTCTTAACATCATCGTGTTTAATGGATTTGCCTATATGTCTTAGTTAGTAGAACTTAAAAGCAGGTGTTCAGTTTCTCTTGAAAGCTAATTTTTTTATGGATTCAAGGTAATGGTCCAGAACATACATCAACTAAACTGAAAGCACTTCTGAAATCATGCCAAAAAACAAATAAAAGGCTCTAAGAGTAACAAATGAGTACTTGTGCATCCAAACTACATAATTACCCTACAAATCCATTGAACCAATGGAACATGGAAAAAATGGTGCCAGTGAAGACCCATACAAACTAAATGTCTCTTCAGAGCAACTACAGTTCTGATTCATCTTGTGCAACTAAAACACTTTATTGCAAGATGAAGACCCATACAAACTTAACGTCTCTTCAGAGCAATTTTTCATTGGCACAAACACATGCAGGCACGCAATTTTTTTCTGTAGAGATTTAGGAATATAGACAATGTCCTTCAGGACTACAGTCATGTCTTCTATACCTCAACATACATCATCACTATGGAACATGTTTCACTCTACATTAATAAAAAGGTTAGGTTCTAATCCGATTCATATTCAGTCCTCAAAATGCCAAGATAATAATGGAGTTTATACCTGCAATAATGTGAGCTGGGCAGACAGGGTGGTTGCTTCTGTCTGAAGAGTCTGCACTTTCCTCTCCAGTTCACTGGTGTATCGTATTTTTCGTTCTTTTGATCGCGCTGCAGATTGTCTATTTGCAAGAACTCTACAATAAATGGATAAAAAGGAAGATATTGTCAGTTCAAACCAGAAATATTCAGGAAACTAAATTGAGATTAAGCCAAAATATAGTGAAACTTAATTAGAAATATCAGAAGAGAAATAAATTCATGAAGATAAAATGAAAATTATTTAATCATGAAAGCTAAATAAATCAAAGGTTGATAATGTTTTATTTACTTTTTTCCCTTGCAAGTGGAACATTGACTTAGCTAAGCCAAGAGGATCATTCAGGTCATCTTCAATGCTGTATTTCCATTAAAAGAAAAAAAAAAGTCACAAAAAATACCATGAGACCCAAAATCTTTGCTTTCTTCCATTTTGCTTATCCTTTTTCCAGAAACCAACCGAAGACCCAATAATCAAATCCCAAAATAATTCAAATTTTCTCCCCCAATGAATACAAAAACTCTTCATTCAAGTCTAGTTATGAATGCTGTTCAAAAAAAAAAAGTGAAGATATGAATATACTTAGGGTAAATTTCATCTACACCCCTTAGCATTTGGTTTTATTACATGGACACCCCCTCACAATTTAAAATGACACTGAGACCACATTATATGGACGATGTTAACAACATTAACAGATAAACCATTTTAGCGTTTGTGGGTGAAATTTACCCTAAGAATTTTCCAAAAGAATCCTTTAAAACCCATGACGCTATAACATTCTTTTCTTTTTAGTTTAACCGGCAAAGAAGCTCGGAAATTTTTTTATTGGTTTGATCAAAAATTTGATAAAGAATTATTAAAATTCAAGTCCAAAACATTTAAATTTACTATTCAACGTTGAGTTTTTATTATATCTGTTATCACTTAAAGTACTCGCCCTAACCGCCGTAACGTTCAAATCCACACAAATTATCGTGAAGAACACATTGAAAAGTGTATTAAAAAATAGTCAGCCAATAAGCCAAATTAAGTTCAAACCTTTTAGCTCTCTTGGGATCAATCAAAGCAAGCTCAGCAAGTCTCTCGGCTCCCATAGCCTTCTTAGGACTGTCAATCTCAAACGACGCCGTTATAGACCCATCCATCGAATTGCTATGCCTATGATGGCCAACACCCCCTATTCTCCTCCCCGTCGCCGGATTCTTCTCACCGTCTCCGCCGTCCACGGCGGCGCCCGAGTAATTAAGCCCTAGACTCTCAAAAAAGTCAGCATCAACAGAGAGACTCCGCAAATGTGCCGCCGGCCCCATTGGCTTGCTGGGTTTATCTTGGCCGTTGGCTGAGTCTGCTGACTTGCTTGGATCTGCGGTTGTCATCATGGGCGTATCAGTCTTGGAGAGGTCGAGGTTGAAGTCGGCGACCACGTCCTCTAACAGTATGTCGTCGACATCGGGGAAGCGGAAGAAGGTCTCAGACTGGGTCCGCCGGTGATGGGCCCCGCGGTTTGGTGTGTCCGGCATCTGGTCGAGGTCTGTCCTGCCGGTTAAATACAGGGCCGTAATTGGCTTAACGGCGAACTTCATGTCCAACACCAATCAATGGACCTAACTGGTGGAGGAAGGTGGCGGTAGTTTTTTGGGTGTGCTGGCAATAATTAGAGAAGTGAGATTAGGGAGAAGAAGAGAGAGTTGGGGGGTGGTTTGTACACAAAAGAGTCTTGACTAGAGTTTAGGGGTCGAAGTGAAGGAAGCTGAGAAGTTTGGGATTTGAGTAGCATTTTTGAATGTGGTCCTAACAGATAAACCACCAATGTGTTGGTGTGTTGTGTTTATATAGTCCTTAAATTGTATCAAATTCAATTTTTTTTAACTTATAATTAATCAATTTTATAATAAACATAATTATATTCATATAGTGTCTATAATTTTTAGCGAATTCATATGGGTAAAATACATTTTATCTCTTTAAATTATTACCTTTATTTTATTTTGTACCATCAACTATAAAATTTCTCACATTTTATTTTAAAGTATCAATTTTATTTTTTATCATTCTAACAAATAATAACTGTCAATTTTTTGACGGTAAATACACATGGGAGTGTTCTGTACTACAGTTCAAAAATTAAGAAAATGGGTTAGCATTCATAACTTTGTCATTCATAAGTTTCAGATTGTCTTTCTCTGGCCAGGGCCGCCCCAATCGGTAGGCCAATTATGTTTGTAGTTTTCACCGGTTATTTTGGCTCAAAAAAATATTTTAGAAACAAAAAAACTTAATCATTTACAAATTCTTAGAAAAAATCCAAGTAAAATTGAGAGGCCCAACAGTATTTTTTCAACGGTCAAGTTACTAAAATATCAAATGTCGCAATACAATTAAAGTCTACAAATAAATCTCTCTCTCTACACACACACACACACTAGTCTGTATTAAAAAACAATTGTATACTTAATTACCCATGTCACTAAAAAAAACTTTTTTCTTTTCCATAATATGTGTATATAAACATCAATAAATTATTTTTTATATTTTATAATATAATTATTTAATTCAATATTTTTTTGTGAAGGTATAATTTATTAGACAATTTAAAAGATGAATAAAGAATCAATTTATAAAATCTCTCTTTATCATATATTATTCTTCTATTTTTATTAAACCTTCTCTTAATATAACTATTTATTGTTTTAACACTAAGTAGTTATCCCTTTTAATGCTTAACTCAATTGGAGCTAAAAGTTGAGAGGATAAATGTATTGTACAAAGCTGGGTTAGCATGCATACTTAAGTTTTATCTCATTGGGTTACTTATACCTTCAAATATGATGACTTGATAACTACTTGAATGTACCAAATTTAGGTCTGACAGTCTACGATCGAAATCATTAGCATAACATAAGATAAGTTTACTTAAATCCATGTATGATTAGCTTGTTTATAACACGATTCCCTATTTAAAAACTCGACATGATTGATTATGAAATATTGTGACGATAATAAATAGCTTTCTTCCCTTTAAAAAAATATAATTTGACTTTTAAAAGTTATAACTTTCATGTTATGATCTATAATGTCTTTTATAGTTGTAACCTGTATCTCAAAAAAAAAAAATTCAACTTTAAAAATTTATAAATTGTTTTCTGTGCCGTAATCTTCCTCTTATTTTTATACAGGGTCATAATCAGTGGTTTGATTGAAAGTCGAAGCATTAGTAATGTGTTTCAAACTGCAAATCATGGGCTTAGACACAACGAGCATCCGCTTGTAGTGGTTAGCATCAACATCCAAGGCACAAACAAAAACATCTCTTTCAAACGCACTGCACTTAGAATTAAATTTGTATTTTTCAGGTAAATTTTAATCAAAAAATACTATGTATACCGAAATTTGTAGTAATTTTGTGTGTTAAATCGATGTTGGCCGTCACATTAGTGGACTCTATTGTCATCCAATGGATTACATTATTTGGTCCACACATTATTACTCATTTCAACCCCCACACGATAAGAGTAGTGGGGTTAAGATTCAAATTTATCATTCATTTTGAATCGGACACACCTTGATTTATGTAATAATTACGAGTTCAAAAAATACATGATTGACCCTTCTCGATTAAAGGAAGATAAAAGACAAAGACAGAGATACTGTGTGGGTGCCTTTGCCGCATTATAAACTGTGCATTGTCACTGGACTCTATTGCTTTTGAAACAAGTGGGGCTGCCAGTGGGGTCTGACTACAACTTCCACGAGTACTTACTATTGGGCATACTAATTTTAAACACGACTCAAAAACTTAGCACGAAGTCAATATGGAGTTGAAACCTTGGCAACTTCGAATGCTAAACAAGTGAATCCATTGAACTTGTCAAATAAATAAGTCATTATGAACTCGATTAATAGTGTCGGCCCAATAGTAAAGGAAAAAAAGTGTGGGTTTTAAACCCTAAATATAAATAAAGCTCCAAATTTAAGAGGTTGATAACGTAGTATAGGCCAAAACTTAAAACTCAATACAATTTAATCCAACAAAAATGATTTTTCACGTTTAGGCTCAAAAGTTCAACCCAGTTCACAATCACATTTGTTAAAAGACCAAAATGATTAACAATTCAATCAACTTTTTTTGATTTTTTTCTATACTAGTTAATGCACACGTGCGTTGCTCGTGAATCATTTTGTACACTACACGAAAGACAACTAAACCATATTGTGGTTCAGATCATAGTGTATTTATTGTTGGACACTTTTCTTAGTTGTTTGCAATCAAAACTTTTAGGTGCAGTGGATTTTAAAATAAACATTGAAATATCGAAGCAACGCTTGCACAAAAAAGGAATCATATGAAGGTATAGAAAAAGAAGTAATCATACATTTAACCCTTTCAAAGCTCGAAAGGACGCTATACCATCTTTATTACAAAGCTTGTATAATTTTGACTTGACTAAGCTATTTTGAAGATAGTTCAATATCAAATTATGGTTGGCAATATTTACAGGGTATCAAAAACTTGAATAATTAGTTTCCATTATGGAGTGTAGTCTGGTTGTGGGGTCATGAAAATTCTCACCTTAAAGGTTGTCTTAAGCAGCCAAAGAATATGAAATCAATAAATTGTATTTTACTTTTATTGTGAATGCCATGTTTGTCCCCCCCCCCCCCCCACCCCACCCCCCAAATGAAATGTTGTCTTAACTTATACCATGATCATTGTTTGAATTACTTGTGAACTCATCAAAGTCTTGATATGCTTTTTTGTGGTGACTTTGAGAAGTAATAGTATATCAGTTTTTAATTTGTATTAACTTTAGCCAGAAAATTGAAGATGCCTCGAAGTGTACAAAAAACAAACAAAACAAGTGATTGTCTCCAATAGGTACAAGCTTAATACTTGTAGTTTATGAGATGGTTGGCTTTGTATGTCACAAGATAAGACATGCTAAGCTAATCAATATCATAAGGGGCCTTCATCTTTTGAAACAAGAAAAAATAAAAAAATGACACCAACAATCAAATAAAGTTACAGTTCATTGGGAAACTAAATTGAAACTATACCAAAGGGTTTGTAATTGTTGTATAGATAGGTCCAATCCCACTTGATGCAAGCACAATGACCTTAGAAATGATTTAAGGGAGAGAAAAAGGCACAATTACAGATACAGAGTTTCTTTGGTAAAAGGTCGAAAAATATATTCCTCCAAGAAATCACAAAAGTTTATATGAACAAGAACCATTGTTGTCAATGAAGTTTATTGCAAAATGACATTCAAACTTGAAAATGTTGGGATCCTTTATTACTGCCTCCAACAGTGCCCTCTCAATTTCCTAGTGAGAGTGGCCCCTTACCCTTGCTAAATGTAAAATTTTGTCCTCCCCATGATCAAATGAAGCACCAAGACCAACCAATTCTCTGATTTTATCCGGTCCTTCTGCACGTACCAGTTTAACTTGAGATAACACTCAACCTATCAAGAAAGAGAACATGTACACATATACACTTTCCACTAATAAATTTGACATTACGCGTAGAATGTAAGAACCATACATCATGAAAAAAAAATTACATTTCTGACTTTGCATGAATTTGGGATTTGTGATTGAGTCTGTAATATGCAATTGTCAATAAAATAAGTGCACTCAATTATTAAAGAACCACAATCACAAGGTATACATCTGAAATTCTAAGTTTCAACAATAATTAGAATGGCTATAACTATTGTATCTTGCTTCTCACCAATAAGGTAAAACCTAAAGAAACGTGCAGCCACACTAACATATCCTTTTGGCACCAGTGAACGTAGAACTAACTGCAACAATAAACTAATTAGAGCATGGTGTGCTTTCTAAACCAATACAAAACATAAAGCAGGAAATGCTACAATCAAGTCATTTTTCATGCCCTTTTAGCTCCATAAAATATTATATTTAAGACAACAAATTATCTTATAAGCTACACCATTATACCATCCAAAAACTCAATACTGAAGACACAACATTCATACAATGAAACAACAACAATGAAGACCATACATAATATTATCAATTATTGCATGAGAAGACCCTATATGTTGCAAGCGAGACAACAACAATTCAGAAGGGCACAACCGAACACCCACCTAAGCCTATGCATGGTTAATGTTGCTCTCATGAGGCTCAGGCTTGGTAATCAATGCAACAGTGCCTTGTGTAGTAACTTCAAGAGCATAGTTGAGATCAACATATACATTACCAGTAACAATACAATCAAAATATTTTTTTCAAATCATCTATCAAGCATTATTTTATGATTTTTCTAAATAGATTTTTGGATTTTAGTATTGTGGTCACAAAAATAGTCACATCTCTAGATCTACAATAACTTGTACACTCCATATGACCTGAAAAAATCATGAAATTTATGAATTTTGAGTTACAAGTGCATATAGACTGAATATTTAAAACCTCCTTTGTGATAATTTAAATTGAATATTTGAAACCTCTGTAGTGATCTATTATGCTGATCAAGGAAAATGAGAAGAAAACATTACAATAATGTGTGCATTGTACGAATGCAATTATACCTCACTATGGGCTAAGATTTGCTTAAAAATGAATATGCTATATTTTTGGAAGATGTGTCAAAAGTATGACATGATAAACTGAAAGTTTAACTAGAATTTATGCATAATATTAAAATCATGAGATATGTATAGAAAGAGAGAGGATACGAAGAGGTAGGAGTCAAAGCGATAGTATTGAAGAGGTTTTTCAAAGGTCTCAATTCCATTGGACGTTTACA